CAGCAGTCGAGTCCATCCGGGATAGTCAGGCACCCCGCTCCGCAGCCTGTTCACAATTGTACGCCTCCATCCTGTTAAACTTTTTATCGGATCAGAACAACCTGGTTTTCCTCTGTGGGCTGAGGCGTTTGAAGGGCCCGCTGTGAAATTAGCAGCCGAGGCTTCATCCACAGCCCCACTAGGGGCTGCTTTCTTGCCCGCCATAAAACCCAACTCTCTGCCATCGAGCGGATGGGCACAGAGATGGATCTCTTCCCCGCAGTTGGCCAGGTAGCCCTCTTCCAAATTTCTTGGCGGGGATGAGTGAGTGCTTCCAGCGCTGCATCAGTTTTTGGAAACATTTCGATTCGGATCCAATCCATTTCTGGAGACCTTGTTTGCACTAAAAATTTCAGTGCAGCTTATAGATTTATTTATTCCTCCAATGCTATTGGTTCTTGATCATATGCTACGTCTTGAAACAGTTCTAAATGTTGATAGGGGCTCTGGGTAGTCCTTCCATATTCTTTTGGTGCTTTCAGCGTCATCCAGCATTTTGTCCCGAGAATCCTTCGACTACATTGGTAAATCTGCTGCACAAGACCTCTTTAGAGAACAGTCAATCCCCGAAGGACAAATATTGTGTAAGGACAATGTGGGAAACTAACACTGAGCGAAATATGACTAGCACTATATTCCCTAACTTAAAACAGAGGGAATCTGGAAAGCTAGTATTCCACGGTAGGTAAACCAGCATTTTGGTAAGTTAGAGATAAAGTCCAACTACACTATTCTGCATTAAATATATTCCTGTCTTGCGATATTTGTAGATTGCTATAAGATAATGCATATTCAGTAGTTACATAAGTCACAAGGTGGGTGGTAACCACAGTAAATTCTCTGAGCTAACAGGTGAGGAAACCTAATACCTGCATTGGGGGAAGGCACGAGGGGAGATGGCGGGAGGAGATAACATGAATGTCTGCTTCTGTAGGGAGACAGAATCAACCATGTGCTCGCTTTAAGGCAGCCTAGCTGTTAGGGAAGAATCTATGGAAATGATATTTAAGGCAGGATCATGTACTTGGACTTAATTTCTAACTTACCAAAGTGGTGGCTTTCCTACCGTGGGGCTTCTCCTCAGGGATGTCTTGCAGGAAGTGAGCCTTGCCAGCTGAAGCAGGGAACTGGCTAAGGCAGCTGCACCCTGGTCTGACCATCAGAAAGCAAGAGACCCGAGAAGTAGAAAGGTGAGGCTTCCCGAGCCATTTATCTCTCTGCCCTTCAATTAACCCCACATGTGTTTATCGGCCAGGTTGGCACTATAAACTAACTACCTTCGGTGAAGAAAGCTGATGGTGCCTGGCTATCAAAAGATATAGCATCTGTGGTCTTAAAGGCTTGAAGATAAACAAGCGGCCATCTAGCTGAAAAGCAACAAAGTTCACCTGGAAGAAGCACACCATCTGTAGACAACTGGACATCCCCTCACAGAGGGGTCACAGGGAAGAGATGAGACAGTCAGGGTGCAGTATAGCACCGATGAAACACACAACTTTCCTCTAGTTCTTTGGTGCTTCCTTCACCCCACTAGCATTTCTACCTTACAAATTGGATTAGACCAGAGCATGCACACTGCTAGAGATAAGAGCCCGCAACACAGGGAATCCAGGATAGATAAACCTCTCAGGGCCAACAATGAGAATAAAGATACTAGGAGGGGGCGGGGAAGGGGGGGTTGATCATGAGGATGATGTAAAATTTGAAAATAATAATCTATAACTTATCAAGGGTTTGTGAGGGAGGGTGGGGGAGGGAGGGGGAAGAAATGGGGAACTGATATCAGTAGCTCAAATGGGAAGAGAATGCTTTGAAAATGATGATGGCAGCATATGTACAAATGTGCTTGACACACTGGATGAATGTATGGATTGTGATAAGAGGTGTAAGAGCCCCCAATAAAAGTATTTTAAAAAAATTCTTGCTGGGATTTGGATAGGAACTTTATTAAGCCTCCATATTAATTTTGAGAGAATCAACATGTTTTCTATGTTATGTTTCCAATCCATGAGCATAATATGTCCCTCCAAAATAAAATAAAAAATCAAAATCTGAAAAAAATACCATATGTTCCTCTATTTACTTAGCTATCCTTTGATTTCTTTGTCAGTGTGTAATTTTAGCATACAAGACCTGTACGTTTTGTTCATTCTACCTAAGTAAAACTTGGATAGCTAAGTCTTTCTATGTTTTTTAACAACTGTAATGATACTATATTTTTAATTTCAGTGCTCATGTGTTTATTGTTAGTGGAAATACAATTGAGTTTTGTGTTTGTCTTGTATCCTATGACTTGTTGAACTCAACTATTATTCCTAGGGTTTTTGTTTATACATTGCTTGGAATTTTCTACATAGACAATTACCGTCACCTGCATGAACTTTACAGACTGTTAACCCCACTTACACTCATGCACCTTGTAAAACCTCTGATAATAATCTGTGTACTATTACTTTTAGCTCCGTGTGTGTTTAAATTTTTGCAGGAACGAATGAAAAATATCTCCAACCTGACCTTCAATTAGCTTCTTCTCCACTCTTACAGTCTGCTGCCCACCGAATGGCCTGAACCTTCCAACTCTTAATCACTCCCTTCTTCGCCCTATCTCAGCAGAAAGTAGTTAAGACAGACTTTTGCCCATTACCATTATTAAGAAGTTTGGAATGTTTGGACCAGGTCTGAACTAGGTAGCCCTGTTTGGACTAAGCTGAAGCAGGTCCGGGTGCTGCACGTGCTTCCCTGCACATCCCAAAGGTCAGCTGCAGATGGCGCCAGATAAGCTAACCAGTGAAACCAGATGTTCCGGGCTCGAAGAAAGCCACAAGGAGTTGACAAGCAATTCTCAGTTTCCAGACCTCATATGCTAATTGCCATAATTGCCATACATTCCTCACCACCCCTTTAAAAACCCGCACCCCAGCTGCTGAGCACAACATCCCTGACCTGTTGGCCTAGGTCATGGAACCCAGAGGGGGAGCTTCCCCACCTAATAAAGCTATTTCTGTTTCTGCTCTCCCTTTTCCTGTCTTCCTCCCTGTACCTCAGTTTCACCTTTACACGTACTTTGAGTGTTTTTTAAGGAATCAAGTAATTTCATGTAGTTATTATATTTCTCTGTGTGAATATCTTTATAATATTCTCTCTTAACATCTCCATGGTCTTTAGGGGTATTCTGTTTTGGTCTTCATATCGATGATTTCTATCCTCTGTTTTTCCTTTGTCATTCTTGTTAGAGATTTGTCAGTGTTATTGATCTTTTTTATTTTTTTTTGGTTGTAAATTTCATTTATTTCTGTTTTTAACTCTATTATTTCCTTCCTTCTGTTTCATTTGGGCTTATTTTGCTTATCTTTTTCTATGTTCTTGAGATAGGAGCTCAGATGATTGATGAGTTTTTTCTACTTTCCTAATGCATACAAACCTCTAGTCAATAATGTGAACTCATATCTCAAGAACCAAATTTTAAAAAGAGATAAGCAAAATGAGCCAGTTTCAGAAACCCATGGGGTAGTTCGTTAGGGTCACTATGGGTATGTATTGACTTGAATGAATGTATGCATTTTGGGGGGACATTTTAACTATTTATTTTGGTGATTTTAAAATCAAAAGTTAAAGACAATCCATGAAAAGATTGCACAAAATATGTTCATTAAATAAGTGTTATGATTCAATCAAAACAGGGGAAATATGTTCTCTTCTGCAATTCCGGATTTAAGTGGTCTGATCTGGAAGGGTTTTCTATTTAAAAAAA